TCCACGAAAAGGTGGCGAGAAGCCCTACGCTCCTAACTACACACCCAAGCCTTAAAACCTTCGAATAGAACCCGATACCCATAAACGACCGAATCGCCTATACCCTGGGCCTCCTAGACCACAACCAAAGTATTTTCAGAACTGGGTGTTACATCTTGTTGATTCAAAGGACAACCACTTAAGCTCTAATACCAAATGATAAGAAATGATATTCCGAGGATATTATAGGAAAAGGTTTGATTTCTTAAACCTTTAATAAACAACAACAACGGAGGCTAGTAACAAATTTCCAGTCAAGTCTGGATCAAGTCCAGTCAAGCCTTGAAGAACAACAACCAAATATTCAGTGCAAGATTATAATGAAGTGAAATAAAGAGAATGAACAAAGAGAATAATAGAATGATAGATGTGATTCTTGTATTGATAAAAGGCGTGATGATTACATGGAAGATACTCCTATTTATACTATCAGGAGCATAAAGGACAAAGGAGACAATAAAGACAAATACGGATTGCAGATGAAGCATTTGACAATGTGTTATGGTTTTGATAGATGCCTTTTTATGCATCTTTTAGGAAATTTTTATTAACATTTTTAATCATATTTTACACATTTACATGTCATTAGTTTAAGTAATGTTCAACTCATGTCTTTCGTCAGAATTCTTGTATTGCTAGCGTTTTTATGTCGTTTTCAGATAACTCGAGTGGAGCAGTACTTTAGGAGTAGCTTTGGATGCATTTGTTGGAGCATTAGAGCTTAATTGGAGCTTGGAACTTATGAAGGATGCATAGGAATGCTTGGAAGCTGTTTCGATCAAGGAAAAGCGGACATTACGCGCGAAAAACCAAATATTTGATCGTGTTCCTTTAGAACTTCGATCCAATTGATCCATCGAAGTTTGTTCGCCATATTTTGAAGTTTAAAGAAGAATAAGAAAAAAAATCGATCGAATTTCTCTTATAAATTCAATCGTGTTAGGTGTTCGAAGTTTCAGAATTCGTCATAAATCAGTTTAGAGCCAAATTCGATCAAAGTGTGAAAAGATCGATCGTGCTTTCCAATAATTCGATCAAATTTTTCGATTTCTTGCTCTGGAAGTTACTGGCTTGCATATAAATTCAACCTCTATTATCATTTTGAAGCCCAGACGACAAAAAAACCCTTATGAAGGCGATTTCTGCTATTTTTTCATCACTTTCTGAAGATCTAAAGGTTGTGGATCATCCCATACATTTAGTTTAGTAAGATTACTAGTTCAATGTCTCTTTTTATTGTTCAAGATCAGATTTTAGCCATGTCTGGCTAAAACCCTAGTTTTCAGTTCTGCAGAAGATTAGTACTTTTTATGTGATCAGTCATCAGATTTGGTTTTCATTGTGTGATTTTATTTAGTAATTTCAGTTTTTGTGCTTAATGAATGTTTGATTTTGATTCTTGATAGTCTGATCATCTAGCTAGGGTTTAAATCATTCCAGTTAATCGGTTGTTCAAATTCATAATTGCTTTGACAATCTGGTAATAAGTAACAAGTAATAAATCAGTTCTATGTTTCGATTTGACTTTATTATAAATTGAAATTTCATATATTTACGCTTCCGAGCTTGTGAAAAGTATTGGACATTGTTTAGAATTTTACACAGATCATAATGTTGCTTTTCTGATTTAATTAAGAGCTTGTTTAATTAGCCAGTAAAAAGTTAGGGTTAATTGAAGAGTTTGTTTTGGTTAACAAGGTAAAAGAGAATGTACTAGAGCTTATTAGTTGTTCTCAGTACCAGCTTAGGTATAACACATTTCGAATAACCGGTTCTGAATTAATTGCATGATTAGGAAAGTCGCAGCAGAACTGAATTCATTTTTATTTATTGAATTGCTTTAGTTTATTTCACTGCTATTTTAGTTTTAATTAATAATCAAAAATCCCCACTTTTATATTTATGTTTTTATGACTAGTATGTGTCTTACGCAAAAAGGCATTGACTGTTAGGTTGTGCCCCTATGGATTCGACCCTGCTTCCGTGTCCTATCATTTAGTGCATTCGAGCAGTGAAATTTTATTTGCTTAAATCGTACGTAACAGCAGTTTAACACGGTTGATCTTGTCTCCTACAGCTATTACATAGAACAAGACAAATATAAAAAGACAAAATAGTACAATTCTTCAGTTCTCCTAACATTCTCTCAACTTCGGAATATATATCATCTTGGAATCTTCACAACTTTGGATAGATAGCATATCTCAGACATCATCAATCTCAGATAGCTCAAAGGATCACTTCATGAACTAACACCATAGTGAAAGTACTGACAATGACAAAAGAGACAAGAAGTTGGAGCTCTACGATAGAGTTGTGTTGATAACATATTATGAAAAATGATCAAATAACAAGATAAATTATAGAGTAAAGAAAGACATGAGATTGTAAAGAACTTTTATACCAATATTGGTGATAAAATCACTAAATTTCTAATAAATATGACTCATTATTTATAATACCAAAATAAGATGAAAGATGAGTTATAATATGAATACACATTATGCTGGTGCATTATTAAAGTCATAAAACACAATGGTTGTTACTTATGCTAAATAATGATAGAGAGTTATGGGAATCCAATGGTTATTCACAAACTAATATTTCATAACGGTTAAGTAATATTAGGACCAATTATGTAAGGGTAATAGGGTATGATGAAATTTACTTGACATTAAATCAATTCAAGTTAACTTCAAGTTTTGGTGAAGAAAAAAAGAAGTTCAATGACTAAATTCTTGTATGGTTTGTTAAGAGATTTTTGTTATGTCTGAAAACACCAATTCAATTAAGTATATATAGTTATATACCACTAGATGTTGCATTCCAAAAGAAGAAGAAAAAAACAAAAAAACAAAAACAAAAACAAAACAAGGGTTCCAGATATGGTTAAAGATATGATTTTTCATTATCTCAATTAAAGTAATGAGTCTCTCCGATGAATCTCTTAGTAGTTAAGAAGGTTGCCCAAAAACAGTATATTAGTCGTACCTAGTAAAATTTAGGGTTTAGGTCATTTTTTGTCACTTAATTTTTGGTTTTGTGCTCATTTAGTCATTTAGCTCATTTTAAGTTTTAAAAGGTCGTCAGACTTTTGGTTTTGTGATCATTTAATCACCTAACTTTGATTTGGTCGTTTAACTTTTGGCTTTGTGCTCATTTAATCATCTAACTTTTAAAATTGTGTTCATTTAGTCACTAAACTTTTAAAATAAATTTATAAAAATTAGCACAATTTTAAAAGTTAGGTGACTAAATGAGCATAATTTTAAAAGTTAAGTGACTAAATGAGTACAAAGCCAAAAGTTAAGTCACCAAACCAAAAATTAGCACAAAGCCAAAAGTTTAGTGACCATTTAAACTTAAAATGAGTTCAATGACCAAATGAACACAACCAAAAGTTAAATGACTGAAAATGACACAAACCCTAAAATTTACAGGTAAGCCAAATATAAAAATTATGACTAAGGTTTAGAGACAAATAAAATTACTACAACGGATTAAATATAATAATTAGTGTCAGCAAATGATGAAATTGGAAACAAACCTTATTAGCAACTATGTACGACTAGCATCGGATTGTTAAAAATAATTAAAATATCAATTTTAAAAAGGTAATTTCTTTTTAAAACGCCGAGTTAGTTTATGTCAAGAACTTAACTCATGACCTTCTTGATAGAACACTTTTTTAGAAATGTCAACATGGACACGATCCATATAAATGATTGTGTCGTATTGTTCTCTAACCCGGGTATGCCAAACTCGGACACAACCCACCTAGCGTGTTTAATTATACAAGTGTGTGGGTTAGAATCAGGTTCATGGGTCAGAATCGAGTTCGTGGATCATGCTCGTTTAACTAGGAAAAATTCCAAAAAAATAAATAAATAAACACATTCAAATTCCCAAAAACCAAACTGATAAACACATCTAAATTTCGGAAAAATAAATTGATAAACACCAAATAAAAAGGTAAAAACGTTCATACAAACAAATAACAAACGAACACATACAAATTCAAATATTGATAGGAATAAAACGTTAATAGGCTCAAAAATTAGGACGAAATGCAAATACACCAAATTTGAGAAAATATTTTAAAAAAATAATAATAAATATGTTATGCGGGATACGAAACCCGTTTATTTGCGTGTCAGATTTATGCCGCGTCAAAATTTGTCGCCCTTCATTTTAAGAGAGGATAGAGACGGGTTTTAAATAATATTATATCCCCTTGCTTTTTATAAATGTTAAAATTTGTATTGGCAACGAACTATAATCCGTTGCTAATCAATCACAATGTGCTTGAAAATCTATAGTTATATTTTGTAGGAGATCCATACCTAATAGCAACGGATTATTTAAGTTATGTGTGCAAGTAAAAGTCCCTTTTGTGGAAGTGTTTCTTCCAAATAAAAAAACATTTAGAACGAAAGTTAGCAATGGTTGAATGCAATTATCATTGGTTGAATGTAGTCGTAACTCGTAAGGAGTATTTGCCCCTTGACCCCTCACCATTCATCAGTTTAGCTCACACAAACATATACTCGGTATCTTCTAGCTTATATTTGTGCAAACTTTAATTACTTTGAAAGCCATGTAAATCTCAATTATCTAAAATACTTGATGATATTAAATCACCTACATCATTAACATATTAAATATGTACAAGAATTGATAGGATGCCTTACATTTCATATGTTAGAACTCATGACTTTATAGATATGTATAAGAATTGATAGGATGCCTAACAATGTTGTTTACCTTTTATAAAAACAATTCATCTCTTTGTTTTCATTTTGTATTTTTAGCCTATCATCTTAATCAGTTATTCTAACTTCTAATGTTGGCTCGAACGAGATAAAAATGCTGTCATTCACGTTTTGGACAGGATAAGATACTCTTGTCGTAGTCTATGGTTAAATTGAAGAACTTACTATGATTAAATTGAAAAAGAAGATAAAACAATTAGCAAATTACATGAACACAATTCCCTTATTACTTGCTTCAAAATTCCAAAATGGAAGACCAGTGAAAACCGAAATACATCTTGTGTACCAAATTTAGCACAAAAATTAAGCATTTAAATCTTTTACAGAAATAATTATTTATCATTTGAAAGCCTTTTAAAAAAAAAAAAAAAAGATTTGCGATCCAACCAGAGGAGAGAAGCTTCTAGTTGACAACATCAAGAACAAGCTTGCGGGACTTCAAAACAGACCACCTCAAACGCCTGTAATAAGCTGCTTGAAGCAAAGCCAATGACAGTACAAATATCCACTTAAATCCCATCTGCATCATCAAAACCACAAAATCACACATTTTAATATAATAATAATAATAATAATAATAATAATAATAATAAAATAATAATAATAATAATAATAATTTGTTGGTTTTGAAGAATTTGTAGTTTTTACCAGTTTCCTTTCTTCCATTTCTGGTTCTGCAGCCCAACTCAAAAACGAGACAACATCTTTTCCCATCTACAAAATATAGGAGATAGAGTAAATTACAGAAATGGTCCCTGTGGTTTGATGAAAATAGCAGGTTCAGTCCATTTTCAAACCTGGGCCTCTGTTGCAGGAGTGCCATCTTCATATTCAACAGCACCATCATTAAGCATTTTAGGCATCGCAATAGCTCCACCAGGGAAGTATGGATTATAATGCAAACCTTCACGAATCTGGAGGTATAAAATTGTAAAGTTTTCAACAAACACAATTTAAAAAAAAAAATAAAAAAAAATAAAAAAAAAAATAAAAAATTCACAACTCACAGTAACACCAGCAGGAGGATCACGGTACCCAGTCAGAAGCGCAAACACATAGTTCTGTCCGTTATGGCGGGCCTGAATTTTTTTACAAAGAAAAGAGTAAATTAGACATATGGACCCTGTCGATATTGGTCCTTATTCCCGAGGTTCCATATCGACTTTGGTTCCAGTGCCGTTAACTTTAAGAGCCCTTTTTGTTAAATTTATATAAATGACCATTTTGTCTTTATAAATGAAATTGGAAGGAGCAATTTAACGACTCACCAACAAAAAAAAATATTACAAAAATGGACCCTGGGCCGAGCTCAAGCTTAACTTTTAAGGGAGGAGGGAGTCATTCCCTCCCAACCCACTGAACCCACTGTCACATCACTTTTTCTCTTTCAATTTTCTTCATCTTTCTCAACCCACAACACACGGAAACCCTATCTTTTTGAACCCACTCAACCCATTCAAATTAAAAAAAAAAATACAAAACAATCAAGGTAAAATCTTAATTAGCAATAGAGTTACTGTCGGTACCACTTCCGCTTCAGCGGGTTGTTTAATTGGTTTCAAGAACCCACTTCATCATCTCTCTCATTTTCTCTTGTACCATGTGTTTTAAAACTTGTACCTTAGTTGTTTTGTATTTTTTTTAATTGAGTGGGTTGAGTGGGTTGAGAAGGATAGGATTTCCGTGTGTTGTGGGTTGGGAAAGATGAAGAAAAAGAAGAGACAAAAATTGATGTGACAGTGGGTTCAATGGGTTGGGAGGGAATGACTCCCTCCTCCCTAACAGATCTTTTTGTTGATTCATGTATCATCAGCTTTAACAGCCAGGTGCAAACAAGCCAAGCTACTCGTGAGCTATTCTAGATCGACTCGTTAAAAGCTCGACTCAACTCGAGCCTATGCTACTAAGCCTGGTTAGGCTCGCGAGCCTAAACAAGCCTACATATACATAATATAAAAATTAATTTTTTATTTTTATATATTAAAACAGATAGATATTTAATAAAAACCATTTAAGAGAGAATTTAGGTATATCGAGCCCATATAATTCTTAGCGAACCGATCTCAAGCTCCGTACTATAAGGCTCGAAACAAGTCGAGCTCGAGCTTGATCAGGCTCGAGCTCAGCTCGGCTTGGCTCGTTTGCACCCCTAGTACTAAGTAATATAAAATAACCCTTTTGCCCTTAAAAGCAGAAACATGAAAGATGAATGGAGAATCTAGCGACAAGTAAACAAAATCAGTAGAAGAAATTGAAGCTGGAAGAAGAGGGTACTTTGGTAATAAGGCTGAGATCTGGAGGGTAGGCTCCTCCATTAGCAAACCTAGCAGCCTGTTCATTGGCATAAGGTTGAGGGAAGCGATCACTGAGTTTGCCAGGGCGTGTGAACATCTCCCCTTCATCATTTGGACCATCTTCCACTTCAATTTCAGCAGCCATTGCTTTTGTTTCTTCCTCTGTGTATGCAACTCCCACCAAGTCACGATATGAAATCAGTGACATTGAGTGGCACGATGCACATACTTGCGTGTACACCTGGTGACCACGTCGGATCCTGCTCATGGTCAAATTCCAATATTCAAAAAGTCAAATTCTCAAAGAAGGAATCAGAGAAACAGTAGATGTAAGGTTAATTACAAGGGAACTCACGAAGCATGGTCATAAGAACTGAGAATGCCTTGGTGAGGCCAGGGGTAGCTTGGAGATTCAAGACCATGTTCAGCTTCATCAGCAGAGGCAATAGTTGTAAAACTTAAAATCCCTGATACACCTGCTCCTAAAAGAGCGATTGCCCTCAGTGACTTCACACCAGCAGATCCGGTGTCATTTTGATCTTTCCTCAAAATGAGTGATGACAAAGCTGGTGGGGCCTGAAATTTTTTAAGGAGATAATGACAGGAATCAGTGATTACAATGTCTGCATGAAGCAAAGATAAAAATCTCCAAAACTTGGTACACTTCATCTAGATTAGCTCCCATTAATCACTCAACTGTAAAGTGCTGTTGCATTTGCCTCATTTTGAGTGTTTTCTTGTAAGTTTCAATGCTTTTGGTAAGTAGTTGTGTTTCATATGGTAATTCAGTAATTGTACACTAAATTACTAAAGATAAGCAATTTAGGGTTGAAATTGGTATTATATGTACTAATAATTATTTTTTTATATAAATTATAAATAATTACATTAATGTTAATATTTTATTGAACAATGAGTATATGTAAATAATTAAGATAGAGTGTTGGTATTGCACTGATATGGGAATTATTGCAAAAGCTGATGTGGCACAATTGAAAGAACAGTGACACAATTGAAAGAACGGTGACATTGCACTGGTGTGGATGGTCCAATACAAGCAAAGACATATGAATCACTAGTGAAATCCTTTTGTAGGTATTCAAGAGTTCAACAAGAGGCATTCATTGGACACTCAAACATTCAACCAAGTTGAGTAATGGGCAAAGGTGATATTGTAGCATGTGTCCATGGAATGCTTTTGAGTAGAGTCATTATCTTACAGTTCTTGAGTAAGACCACCATCATAAGGTTCTGGAGTAAAACTGTAAAACTATTATCATATTGTTGTTGTATAGGACCATCATCATATTGCTATTAAGTAGACACATAGTTATGATTCTTGAGTAGAGCAATTATAATGATGCTTTTGATTAGAGTCTAGCATGATCCCGTGATGTGTCGTGTGAAGAGTCTAGCATTATTTGCATTACAATAACAAGTCTTGCATGTGTTGCACTGTATTTAGTAGTTTTGCATAAGTTGCATTATGTAACTTGTACATGTCGTATTTTATTTATTTTTTATATTACCGAGCATTGTTTATTGAGACATTGGTACTCACTAAGCCTTATCCTTAGTGTTACTATGTTGACATGTATTTAGGGTGTATGTGGCATGGGGAAAGGGGAAGGTTTAGCTATTGTTAGTAAGCATGGCACATGCCCATGTTATATGTTTTTGTATGTATGTATTGGGGACATATGATAACGATTGTATATCCTTTGGATTTGGAAGTACACTCTTCTTAATGTTTGTAAAGTTGTTGCTTTTCTCTAGAATAAATTTTTTTGAAAGAACTTCGTGCCTTCATCTCAGATTGGGATGTTACAATTACCAAAGTGAATGGATGAAATTATACGACAATTGCTTTTGTGATATTAAAGTGCTATCAACTACAGAATAACCAAAAACAAAATCTTGAGTGTTTGTTATGTTGCAATTTAGCTCAAACACCATTCATGATTTGTGGTTGGTTTGGTCATAGAAAAATCCTGGATTGCAATATGTGATGCTGTCATGAGGAGCATATCTAGGAGGTGGATGGTTTAAAAAATAAAAAGTTGTCGGTAAGAAATGGATATTTTCAAGGGTAATTACCATCTCTAGTCTCTACTCCTACACTAAATACATTCGTAGAAGCGTTCTAATTACTAACATACAGTCTATACAACCCTCAATAGAGACACCAGAATTGCTATTTACTACAGAAGATGTTAATAAAAGCCAAATGATAAAAATTTCAAATAGTAATAATGCTTACAGCTGAATGAGAATGGAGTCTGCCCCTCAGCAAGTGGTAAATTCCCCTACCACCAGCCATTCAAGCTAATTTCCTGTAAATCCATACATCCCAATTTGATTGTTAACTTATAAAGAATCCCTAAAATAACCATTATTGGTTTGTTACCAAATTTATATCCAGGGCATATAAACAGGAGAAATGTCATGTAAATATCAAGTCCATAGTAAATAACATACAGCAATAGTAATGTTCCTCTCATCCCAGAGATACCGACATTGATGTAACCTCGATCTCAAAGGCAACTACTTTCTGAAATCCAAAACTGATTAGGATTTAACCCTTTTTTTCCAGAAAAACTTCCATTTACTGATTTACATCAGCTTTGCTACATATTAAATTTTATAAACAAATCACATATCAATTTGGAATTTGGATGGTACTCGGTTTGACATAAGAAAATCTATAAATTGTTAAACATTTAGCGTGTAACAAGAACGCAACACTAGTTGTTACTAAATGGATTACAAATCATGCTTAGAGAAAAAACAATCTCAAAAGGCCAGGTGAAAATCAGATTTTAGAAAAATTGACGGAATATATAAAAGTAATTAAGAGAAGGCAATCGAACAAATATTATCCCACATTTAACACAGACGACCAAACCCCTAGAGCATCTTTGAAGCATTCAAAATCCAACAAAGGAGACACTTACAGGACGTCCTCGGCAGAGATTGGTCTTAATCGGCGGCGTTTAGCTCGTGCAGATTGATCCAATGATGAAGGAGATTGAAATGAATCGAAGACAAGAAATTTCAGATCTTTCACTCTCGCCTGCGTGCTCGTTCTACCGTGACCAGGCTTGGTTGGGCTCGTAGTATTTCAAATATTGGACCGAAATGAAATTCAGAATCAATATTGGGCCTTGTCTTGATCTTTAGTTCCTAACTCTATTTTCTTTGGTTATACTAAACAGGGTTAAGTGCAAATTAGACGGTCGGTACGGGCAATGGCTTCAGCCGCTATGGTGATGTGGAAGGCGCTCAACGCCGTTGTAACGCAGGTACACCGCCCCAGCTATGCCGCTAAGGGGCGTTATGTGGTCTCCGGTTGCGATGATAACGAGAGGCAACGCCTCTTTTTTCGAATGTAATGTTCATATGATCGATCATTTGAAACGGTCAAAAAGCAATAAAAAACAATATTTATTTATTTTTTCCATATAAATACACATATGTATTCAAATTTTTCTCTCGCTCATTTTATTCAACTAAATATATTTACAAAAATTACCCACTTTTTTCGTTCAACCAAATATGGAGCAAAACCCAAACACAAACACATCCTTCTGATGGGGTTCGCACAATGCGGGAGTTATATGAATCTACCCAACACAAACTCACCACAAATACCATTTCAATGAAACTTTTTTTAATCTCAACTCACCCCAATGCAATTTCTTACATCCCCTTACATGCAACAAAACTCAAATCTTCAACAAAACATTTTCAGTACTTTCGCTTCCATGTCACAAACAACCACCACCCACACAACCAACGCAAGCGGGAGGCAGACGCGAAAGGTAAAGAATAACCTACACTACGGTGGACACCGGAGGAGGAATACGTGTTGGCGGTGGTGTGGTGCGGGACTTCAATGAATCCAACCGCAGGAAATGATATATGAAGAGTTGGGTTTTGGGAAGTCGTGCTCGGAAAATTCCATGCGATTTTGAAGAAACAATCGTATCGCAATATCGATATGCTTAGTAGCAAGTGGACTCCGATCAATCGTTGATGCACCTAGTTTAATGGGATTTTCATGAGGCTAGAATTGCAAAAGCAAAATGGTGCGAATGATTTTGATGTGTACAAAGCTGTGAGGGAACAATATCAAGTCGAAAATGGGGCATGCTCTCGAGTTTAAAAAAATATGGGAGATTGTCAGAAAAGATCCAAAATGGATTAAGGCGCAAACATTGTCGGAGGCACAATCAAAGAGGTCTCGCAATTCTAGTTTGTTTGATGCTTCCGACGCACGAACTAACATCAACCTCAACACCGACACGGATGACATCCCCGACGACATCGAAGATCCCCCCCCCCCCGGCCGACCAACCGGGCGTGACAAAGTGGAGCACGCTCAACGTCACGCGGACGAAGCTGAGAGAAGGGCACAAGATTTGGCGGAAATGAAAGCAAAGTTCGACCAACACAATCTAATCGCACAACAAAAGGTTGATGTGCAACGTAAGCACTTTGAGTTTCTTCATTAGCAAGCGGAGTAAAATCAAATAGTGAATGGTTTAGCAATTCTACAGACTAGCGAAGAAAATATGGGACCATGCAGGCCCGGCCCTGATATTTCGGAGGCCTTGTGCAAAAACTAAAATGAGGCCCCACAAAAATTTCTTGTAAATATTATTAACTACATTTGCTACCACTAATTCAAAACATAAAGTTGCTAAAAAACATCTCATAAATTCACTACCACAAAATAATGTCTTCATCACTCATTGGTAATCAAATAAAACTGTAAAACTGTTATAAACAAGTTTTCAACAAAAGAAAAAACAATGCATTACTATTTTCTAAACATTGACCTTCTAGCATTTTTAGAAGAAAATTCATCTATGAGACTTTCATAATCAATATTCTCAAGAAACTCGTTCTCAGTCGAAATCAATGCCAAAGCGTTTAATCTCTCTCGAGACATGGTCGAGCGCAAATAAGATTTAAAAGCTTTAGTTTTGAAAAACTTCTTTCCGCTGATGCAACTGTAATAGGAACAGTCAACAATATTTTGTATGCTAGACAAGAAACTGGATAAGTGTTCATCATTTTTAGGAAATTTAGTATTCCGTTAGCTGTATTGTGTTCAACCGGTAAATGTTTTTGTAACAACTCCATTTTGTTGAATAAATCATCAGCATTAATGTCTGAGATATGACCATTTTGCAGCCTCTTTTCCAGATTTTTGCAACATGACTTTAACTCGCTAGTATTCATTGACTTCAACTTTTCTGTTGTGAATAAGAAACCAAAAATGTCTTCATATTGTTTGTATTGTTCAAACCTTCGCTCCAATGAACCAATAGCTTGATCAACTATGTACACAAAATATTGAATCCTAAATGACTCTGAGGTGAAAGTTCATGTACCGGCTCTGATGACCCAATGTCATTCTCATCAAAATGTCTTTTTTTTAACAACTTTTCTTTTATTATTTTTCTCAACAAACACTGGATAAATTTCCAAATCAGAAGCTATAGCTCTCGCACAATCCAAAGCCTTCCCAAACCCATTCTCTCGATAGTCTTTAAAAAACTCAATAAGTGCTCCCACACTACTCATTGCCTCATCAATACGCATAGTCTCAGACTGAAGTTGTTTGCTCAGGTTATTTACTTTAGCCAATATATGATACCATATAACCATACCTGTTATAAAGTCAAATCTGCCAAGTTCATACTCTGCTAGACAAGTAGCTTCACTTATGATCTTTATGTCTGTCTCTTCTTCAACAAGTTTATGCAGAGCTTTTACTATTTCAGGAGCTTGAGTAACTGTTGCTTTCACACGTTCAATCATACTTTCCCACCTTGTGGTTGACAATGATTTTAAAGTGAGACTTTGTTTCGGTAATTAAAACGCATCGGAGGCCAAATGTTAAAACGCATCTAAAATTGGAACCAAAAGTTACCGGGATAATTTTATTTATTGATAAAACATAAAAATAGATTTTACAAAAATACTAATACTATAACTATAAATTATCCTAAAAATCGGAAGCCCCCTAAAATCGGAGGCCTGGTGCGACCGCCCCGCTGGCACCACCCCAGGGCCGCCACTGGGACCATGACAAGTGCAAGTGCTCCAAAAGATGAAGTAGAAGATCGAAAAGAAATATTTGGAAGACTGGTGTATCGTTTTTATGTTTTTAGGATTATGGTTTTTTTACATTCAATGTTTTTTTGTGTAATGTTATTTTTAGTTTTTAAATGTTATGGTTAATTTAGGATTTAACTAAATTGCATGTTTCATTTTTTTTAAAAATAATCTAACATGAATAATGTAGCATCCCAATTTTCAAGACCAAAAATTTTCATTTTTAAATATAATACTTATAAAACCATTTGTCTGAAAACAACCATAGTATCAATTCATATCAAAACCAGAGTATCACTAGTCAAGTCATATCATGATAAAACAATGTCAGAGTACAAATCCCAGAAATCTCATATGCGGAAAATCGTGTGTGTGCGATGCACTACTACCGTGCCGGCTCCTTCCCCTTCGTTGAAGAGGTACCTGAAACAAAACTGAAAACTGTAAGCACGAAGCTTAGTGAGTTCCCCCATCATACCACATACCATAAACATATACTACCTATCCCTCGGTATCTTTCAACCGGTATCTGACTGGCATAATCGGAAGTTGGACTTCCCTTCGGTATCTTTCAACCGGTAGTCGGGAGCTGACCTCCCCTTCGGTATCTTTCAACCGGTAACCGGGGACTATTGCACCCCTACTACCACTATCACATATATCACATCATGCTAATCACATAAAACATATCGGGTAGTAGCAAACCTAGATAATTATCACAAAGACAATCATCTATTAACCAACTCCTACTAGTGGGTCGGCATTGTGGCCGTAGACCCACTGCTACTGGAAGGTAACTCACCTCGTAAAGTTGAGTGTCGAATCTCACGAGAAGTAATCTCTAACAGCTGCTCCGATGACTCCCGGCTCTCATAATCATAATAGTACTCAATCAAAATATATAACACTACTTAGGGTAAAATGACCATTTTACCCCCCTCCCCCCTTGGCCCAACTTGAACCATTCCTAAGGCCCAGTTCTAATTTATTAACCCAGAGCACCCATGACCCATCAAGGCTCCCTAAGGCCCACTAATGGCCTAATTTTCTAAATTGAGCCCAACACTCCAAATGGGCCTTTTCACAAGTCCAATAAGTCCTTAGCCCAAAATGAATATCTCGAGTGGCCCAATCATGGCCCAAAAGGCCCACTTCTAATTCCGAATTCCTAGGCCCAGAACTATACTCCATAGTGGGCCACGGGGCCCAATAGTCCACGCCCAGTTCTCTAAGGCCCAAAAAGCCCAATATAGTCACTCTGCATGCATACGCGCGGCGTACCTGGCACGTACGCCCAGCGTACGCTGGCCTTGACCAAAACGGGGAGTTGACCCAGTACGCAGCGTACCAGGGTGTACGCTTAGCGTACTGGCCAGCTTCCTTGGGACTTCATTTGTGACTTAATCCATTAAGTCTTTACGTCCAAAATGTAGATCCAGGTCCTTTAAGACCTCCTAACCCATAAAGTCACAAACTTTATGCGCTTGCATGCATGGTTGGGGTCAAAAAATGATCTTGGTCCTTTTAACAAGCTTTAAGACTATCAATACACTTGCATGGTTGTGGCTTAACCATCAAGGTCCGATTTTTATGACTCTTAGTGCCTCTAAGAGCCCAAAAGGACAGCTCTTATGGTATGAAATCATTAAGATGCAAGAAGTCTCAACAATGGAGTCCAAAAGTGACCTTAAACACTCCCAAAAACAAATCTAAGCATACAATGGCCAAGTTTGGAACTTGATACCTCAAAAGAGTCAGAAATGATGTCAATCCCCTGGATCTACAAGCTCTTTGTGAATCCTTGCTCCTTCTTCAAGCTCCTTTCTTTTCCAAAGCACCAAAACTACACCAAAGTACTCTCAAATGGCTTCCAAATCACAAGAACACACCAATAAAGGTTAGGGTTTTCGTGGTGGCTGTATAGAGGTGAAAGGGAGGCTGGACCAAAGGCATAAGATCCTTTGTATATGGATCAAACCCTAAAAGTTAGGGTTTTAGAACC